CTTTATTATGTAAAGTGGACTAGCTCAGGCTTTAATGGCTCATTGACAAAGGGAGATGGGCAGGAAGCTGCAGGCAGCTATTCTGCCTTTTAAAACATATTTCTTCCTTTTCACATCCAGAGAAATATTCTGCCTTTTCAATATTTCGTAGGCTATTTCATTTTTCTGGGAGAGAGCTGGGTGATAACTTCCTACAAGACCTATTCAACTAGTCCATTTATCCTTTGTCTCAAATTCTGCATGTCACTTCAGCTTTTAACTTACTGTTTCTTGTCCTACTGCAAGGCAATTAACTTGTCTCTGGTTTCTGTCTTCCCATCCTTCTCTGATCTTGAAGGATTGCCACAGGTAGCTCTTATCTCTGCTATGAGGTATGTAAAACTGATCTGGTCACTATTCTTCTTTTTCAACCTTCCTGTGAACCTCTCCAGTTTCACTGTGTTCAAATTCCACTCATCTATTTTACTTCTTATCACAAGCTTCCCCCACCCAAAGGAAATGGTGGGAAATTTGAAGAACAAAAGACAACGTATGATGTGATGGATGGATGTGATGGATGGAAGAAAGAATGGTTTGCAAGAGTAGAAAGATGTGAATAGGCTGAGTCAATGGGGTTGTAACCATAGCTAAACCTAGCTAGGTTTCCTTTCCTTTCCTTTTTTCCTTATATCTTTTTTTTATATCTTTTTTTGCTTTCTGTATTCTGCATAATGTCCTAAACGTCACATGGAAATAGTTTGATCTATATAAATGGAAACGAAAAAATCACCCAAACAGAGCATAAGATTAGTATAGTGTTAGTGAAAGAAACATGGATTGTTTAATTCTGCTTGTGTCTTGTTGGCTACAATATGAATATGAACCACTTAGAGAGGGCTGTAAAGCACTATGAGGCAGTATATAAGTCTAAGTGCTAGCACTTAGACTTATATACTGCCTCATACTGTTTTAAAGCCCTCTCTAGGTGGTTTGGACAGGCAACATCTTACCCCCCCAAAATCTGGGACCCCCATTTTACCGATCTTGGAAAGATGGAAGGCTAAGTCAACCTTGAACCAGTAAGAATCGAACTGCTGGCAGTCAGTAGAATTAGCCTGCAATGTTGCAGTCTAACCACTGTGCTTCCATGGCTCTTATGTCAATATGCTGCAAGAATAACACTGAGGAGCAGGATCAAATAGGCACCATAGTAGTTGCAGCAACACAATCCAAGTCCCATCTCTTTATATGTGTGGGGCATCTTGCCTGGTTTCAGCCATTCCTACCGATTGATTGATATATGTAGCACTCACACCTAATTACTAATCTGCGGAATCTGAACAAGACCAGAGCTGATGGGAGGTTACTACTAGAAATGCTTACAGATAATCCTCAATAATTAGTTTAACAACCATTCAAAGTTATGATAGTGCTGAAAAAAGTGACTTATGACCGATCCTTGCACTTACAACCAGTTCAGCATCCCCACAGTCATGTGATCAAAAGGGGACAGGATCCTTGCTTCTAAAGGCATTTGCTTTTTTTTTTTTTTGTATTTTTTAAAATCAAACTACGGAGACAATTCCCTTTCCCAGCCACAGTAAGAATATGGGGAAAACATTTTAAGAGCCAAAACTGACTTTTGCCATTCTATATGTAAAGAGAGTTGCAACAGGATAAGGAAACCAGTGCTTGCTTTCAGTTTGGGGCCAGAGAGACACATCACAGCAGGGACGTGCAGTCAGGGGAGGCAGAACCTTACCATTGTCATCATGAAAAGAAAAAAAAATGTAAAAGGAAAAA